CGGTGCCCAGAGCAGGGGGATGGTCACTGCGCTTGACTGCTGGCCACACTACTGCTGACACAAGCCAGGATGCCATTGTCCTTCTTGGCTACCTGGGCACACCTGGGCTCGTGTTCAGCAGCTCTGGGCCAGCACCCCCAGGCCCTTTCCCTCCGGGATGCTCTCCAGGAACTCTCCCGCTATGCTGGAGCGCTGCAGAGGGTTGAGGGGGCCCAAGGGCAGGACCCGGCACTTGGCCTTGCTGACCCTCACCCCGCTGGTCTCAGCCCCTCAACCCGGCTGTGCTGAGATCAATTCCCTTGGCAGCCTGTCCCAGCGCCCGGCCATCCTCTGGATGAAGAGCGGTTCCCTGATGTCCAACCCAAATCTCTCCCGACCCAGCTTCAGGCCGCTCCGCGCCGCTCCCTCTCTCAGAGAAGCGAACTTTCCCCGCCCTCCTCCTCGAGCTGAGCGCTCGCCCTCCTTTCCCTGACGCTCGCCTGGCAGCTCCCAGAGGGAAGCAGAGGCCCAGAGCAGCCCCGCGCTGCCGAGAAGCCGCCCTGGGGCCGCTCCAGGTCCCGGTGTCCCCTCACCTCTGCTCGGCCATCACGATCCCATCGAACAGGTCGGCCATGGCGGCGCGAGGCACGCCGGGAGCGGACAGCGCGCGGGAGGAGGCGTGGCCCGCAGTCACCGACCACGCCCCCTCATAGTAAGCCACGCCCACACGCGACGATGGCGTGCGGCCACCAGGGGGCACCCGAGCGCCGCCGCAGATCCCGGCCCCGGCCGTTCACGGGGAAACCTCCGTGTCCCAAAAATCCCGCCCCATGTCCCAAAAAACCCACCCAGTGTTCCAAAAATCCCACCCCCGCGTCCCGGAAATCCCACCCTGTCGCTCAAAGCGTTGTCGAGAGGCTCCCTGAGTTCCGCCAGCCTTGGTGCTGCGACCGCTGTGGTGCGGAGCGTGGTCCAGTGCCCGGCCACCCTGTGGGCGAGGAGCCTTTTCCCGATAATCCAACCTGACACAGCTTCAGGCCGTTCTCTCGGCTTCTGTCTCTGGTCATGGAATGATAGACTTTACACATCTCTCTCACGTAATATTGGTATCTGTGGCTTTCAAGAAGTGTATTTTTGGTGCATATGCCTACAATTTTTCCCTGTGAGGGTGGTGCGGCCCTGGGTTGCCCAGAGAAGCTGTGGATGTGCCATCCCTGGAAAGTGTCCAAGGCCAGGTTGGATGGGGATCGGAGCAATGTGGAAAGGTGTCCCTGCCCCTGGAATGAAATTATAATCTTTAAACACCCTTCCAACCCAAACCAGGCTATGATTCTAAAACATAAATATTTTTGGTGTTAATACCCACCCAAACTGTAGTGTGCTGTTCTAGGCTGCTCTATTAAAATACTTACAAGTTGTTACAGGTTAACACTGGTCAAAGGAAACATTTACACTCATTTACAAGCACGTGTTTTAAAGTTAGCTTATACTATTATTTTCCAGATACTTAATGAAAATGTGTTTCTGGGTCACAGAATCACAGAATAATGAGGTTGGAAGAGACCTCTAAGATCGAGTCCAACCTATGCCCTAACACCACAACTAGACTATAGCACCAAGTGCCATGTCCAGTCTTTTTTTAAACACATCCAGAGATGGTGATTCTACCACCTCTCTGGGAAGAGCATTCCAGTACTTTATAATACTTTTGGTGAAAAATTTATTCCTAATATCCAACCTATACCTTCCCTGATGTAGCTTGAGACTGTGTCCTCTTGTTCTGTCAGGCGCTGCCTGCTAGAAGAGACTGACCCCACCTGTCTACAGGCTCTCCTCAGGAAGTTGTAGAGAGCCATAAAGTCACCTCTATGTGTCCTCCAGGCTAAACAACCCCAGTTGCTTCAAACATTCCTCACAGGGTTTGTGTTCCCAGCCCCTCTCCAGCCCCATTGCCTCCTCTGGACATGCTCCTCTGGTCCTTCCCAAACTGGGGGGCCAGAGCTGGGCACAGCACTCCAGGTGTGGCCTCACCAGTGCCAAGTACAGGGAAAGGATGACCTCCCTGCTCCTGCTGGCCACACTGTTCCTGATCCAGGCCAGGATGACCTTCTTGGCCCACAGGGCACACGGCTGGCTCATATTCAGCCGGCTGTCGAGCAGCACCCCCAGGTCCCTTTCCACCTGAACGCTGTCCAGCCACACCGTGCCCAGCTTGTAACGCTGTAGGGAATTTCTGTGGCCAAAATGTAGAACTCGGCACTTAGACTAATTAAACTTCATGCTGTTGGACTCTGCCCATCCATCCGACTGATCTAAGTCTCTCTGCAGGGCCCTCCTTCCTTCCAGTAGATCAACACAAGCTCCCAGCTTAGTGTCATCTGCAAATTTACTAATGAAGGACTCGATGCCCTCATCCATGTCATCTATAAAAATATTAAATAGAACTGGTCCCAGCACAGAGCCCTGAGGGATATAACTGGTGACTGAGTGCAATTCACCATCACTCTCTGGGCCACCACTCTGCCACCCTGGCGTTGAAATATGTATATTTTTGAGGGAAAAAAGGGAAATTTGATTTAATTTATCAAGTTGTTCCCCATTTATATGAAAAGTACGCTGGCAGAATAGAAAGAGTGGGCCCCAAATTTTCCACCAACAGGGTTTCAGTGATTTGAGCAGAGGTAAAGTGGACACTATGACTTTGAATTGATTTATAGGTTTTTACACTTCCTCCAACTGGAAATGAAGACGCTCAGTATCTCCTTTGCTGCAGCCTCCCCGCTCCTCTAGCAACTCGTATTTGCACATCACAGCTTCCAGCTGAGACTTCCCAAGGAGACATTTGACACCTGAGCTTTAAAAACGTTTTAGGGCTGTAAAATGTGCTCTTGCAAATGAAAGCATCACCATTGTCCTCCTGCCTTTGAGGAGCTCTGGTGGGCAGGGGACAGGGGTGTGCTGAGGGGTGGTGGTGGTGTTTACATTCCCACAGAACCAAAGGTCCTCTCTGGAGGTTCTGCACACCCGGTTCCTGACCGAGTCAGGTGTCGGAGAGCAGGGGAAGCACTTCCCAGCAATCCTCCCACCTCAAGCCGAGATCTTGTCAGATTTTATAAGCAAAACAGCCAGGTTTGGTCAGAGCTGGGATGGGAAAACTCCAAGGAAAACTCTAGTGCCCCAGGAAGTGGTGTGGGTTAATTTAGCTCCTGGCATTCTTCCCTCTGTCTGAATAAATATTGAACCAACCTCTAACCATGCTGTTGCAGGAAAAATCATAGTGCTGCTGGTGGAAGAATGTAAGCCAAAGGTGTCAGCAAATAGGGTCACAAGAGAGCTCAAGACGATGTTGCCAAAATGTAAGGTTGCCTGTCTTTGCACTCTTGAGGAATATTCACTATGTTACACCCACTTCAAAAATCCCTCACTGGGTCAGTTAAATTGTGTACCCTCCAAACTCCATTATTTGCCATGTTTCCTGTAAAATCTGTGCAATTTTTTTTTAGCAGAAGAGTAAAAGTGACTTTTCTTTTCTTGTCCAAACTTTAAAAGTTCATTCTTATTTTATTTCATTTCCTGTTGGCTTTTTTAAAAAGAAAGGCTTTAAAAGGCATTTAAAGAAAATATAGTGACTGATCAAAACTGGAAATGAAACCCCCTGAAATCTGAAAAGTTTTGGAATAAAACAACCTGAAAATCAGAACTACCTCTTCCAGCACACAGGGAGTGGGAACCCTCCGGATATGTGGCAGTAGCTGAGCACTAAGGAGAATGGGAAAACACCATGGGAGGTGTTTGCCAGCCAAGAAATCTGCTGTTCCTGTGTCTCACAGCATTTCCAAATGAAAACATTCGGGCTCTTTTCCTGCCAGAAACTGACATCTTTTTCAGGCAAAACTCACCACTTTTCTCCTTGGCAGCGCTGGTTAGAATGGTTCCCATTTTTAAATGGGAGCAGCCTTCTACCCACAGGATTTTTTTGTCAAGAGGGGTGGTTGAGTCACTATCTCTGGAGGAATTTAAAAGATGTGTGGATATGGCATTTAGGGACAGACAGAAGATTCAAGCAGATTTCAGCGTTGAAGATGATTTTCTCTTTTATTGCAAATGTACACATTACACTAATGATAATGCACAGAAATTTAAAAATTAGCTAAAATTATGGCTATTTCAAAATTGGCTAAAAATTGGCTATTGTTGGCTAAAATTCTGTTGATTACAAAACTTCACAAGATTTGTTACAACTAAAAAACCCACCTTCAGAAGTATATAAATAGAATTTTGAGCATAAATAACAGTAACAAAATAAACAGATGTACGTATTCAATAAATTAATTATAAATATTGCATTGGCAATGAAGTGCTAGGTCAGAAGAACACCAGTATTTCCAGTAGAGCTTTTTTCTTTTTTTTCTTCCTTTTTTTTTTTTTTCTTTTTTATTTTTTTTTTTCCTTTGCCTTCACCTTGGTTATCCCTTCATTGAATCTTTTCAGAGGGAGAACAGAACTTGAAGACATCAGGTGCCTTGGCCAGAGGTACTCACAATCCCTTCTTGCAAGGGGAATCCTGACCCAGTTCTGCAGCTTTTAACTCACTAAACCATCTCACCACTGATTCCCATGGATGCTGAATCAAGCCTGGAAGTGACTTGAAAAAATTCCTGGTGGTTAAAGGTTAAACACAAAAACCTATTTTACAACTGATTTGACCTATACATCCGTTCTCAGTGTTTTTCTCTGTTTTCTAATGACATATACATGCTTATATACAACAGAATCTTCATTTAAACATTCATTTGAGCTGCTCATTCCCTACCTGATGAACATCAATTCTATCCCTGGGCACCTTTCCAACCACACACTGAATCCTCACTGATTCTGATGAGAACTCTCTCCTGGATGATTCTGATGCCACAGAGAACATAATTTAGCCTACAAAAGAAATCAACAATCAAGCTTCCCAGAGTATTTCTTAGCAGTAAGGGGAGAAATTTTTCCCTCTCTTTTCCTACTTTCTAAGGGAAGAAAAAGCACAATATACAAGCAGGTTTGTTTTTTCAGTAGTATGCTTTCCATAGAAAGTTTTCCCCAGAATGTTGTTAGCAGCCTTTTAAGAAGCAGCATCAACTCAAGTTACATCTGGTAGGATGTTTTCCTTCATCTAGTTTTGGTCCAAGTGTTTGAGTTTGTGGTCTCTGAAGAGGAAAAGGTTTTCTGCATTTGCTCGTACGAGCAGCTATAACAGGTTAATATATGTGGAAGTGAAGCTGGCATAGAAAAATTACAGTTATTTTATCACCACCTATGGAGGAATTCTGATAAGGCTGCTAAACTTTTTGTATTTAATCCTCCTTTTCCAAACAAAACTATGGATAGGAAATTCTTTTAGACTACAAAACAGCCTAGTGGCACTCATCTCTTACAGGTACAACAAGGATGAGGCTGGCTCCATACTCAAACACACAAAAAAGTTCTCAAATATCACTACACAGAAAGCTACAAACCCTGCAGTACTCTTCAATATTTCTGTGAAAACACGTGTGGGAGCAGAGTCAATTCTGGAAGCTGGGGCTCTTCACTGGGGACAGTTTGGAGGCGATGCCAAAGGGGTCCATGCTGTCCGTCTCCAGGGGCGAGGAGAACGCCTCTGGCTCAAAGGCCTGGCTGTAATCACCATATTCACCAAAGTCTGCTGACTCCATGGGCACAGTGTTGATCATGGGCAAGAAGTGAGACAGGGGAAGGAAATCTTTTCCCTTGAACTGCTGTCTTTGTTTGGCACTGCTCAAAGACACTGATATTCCGTGTTTTTTGGATCTATACACGTTGTAGCCGTCTGGGCGAATCTCCTCCTCAAAGGAACAGTCTTCAGTGGAATACCTGAGCTGAAAAGCAAGGAATAGTGAGAATTGCAGGCTGGTTGTATTCAACCACAAAACAAACCTTGGATGGGAAAAGTCCTAGTCACTCAGTGAGGGTATCCTGGCTTTCCCAATCCCTATTCTATTCTATTCTATTCTATTCTATTCTATTCTATTCTATTCTATTCTATTCTAAATTCCATTCCATTCCAGAACCCCTAAAGTTCTTTCCATGTCCATCCTAATAAATAAGGGATGAATCCTGGGATGTGCTTCTCCACAGCCACCACACTTATCCTGTCTGAGGACTGGGAAAAAGTCTCAGATGCCAGAGCTGATTTAGATGCATTGTCCTTAATTGCAGTCATAAATCCTAATCCAAGTATATGACTCCTGCTCTGTTAGAGTTTTGCCTGTGCAAGGGCTTCAGGATCAGGTCTGTAGAAAGGCAGCACGGCCAATCAGTAAAACAATGCTAAAAGGTAATTTCCACCTTTTTCCACTCAGAATTTACTGAAATTGCCAAAGACCCTTTTACAAAGTGCCATTTTCATGTTAACATGAGAACTGTTGAATTAATACCAGCACAAGTTAGGACTTTGTACAGAAGAATGTATTTTCTTAGGTATGAATTTGTAGACTTACATTTGCAATAGCCTGTACAGCTATTATATACCTGTAACATCTTAAGTTATATATACATATAAATAAATATAAATATAAATATACATAATATTTGTATATTAAACCCATATCAGCAGGTCAGACCTCTCTAGATCTTTACACCAGCTCTGTGTTTCTTACAACTTTGTTGCTATTTCCGTCTCAGCTACTGCAGGTGATTGAACCTTGGTCAATAAAAAAGAATTGCTGATTATGTCTCAGTCTGCAGAGACAGAAATGTCCTTACATGAATGTTCTGCCTGTCTGAACAGAGAGCATATTTAATACTTTTGGGCTTTTCTCAGACACCCTCAGTAACACGGAGTAAAATTGAGGGTGTGCATTTGGTTATCTTTCAAAAGCATGTTTTAAATTAATAAAGTAATTTAAAATAATGTTTTATTCAAATAAGATAGTGCAATATTTATCCTTCTACACACACATTATATCTGAGAAAAATATATGTATATGACCAAATATTGGGGCTGGATTGTTGGCTGTCTTTATGAGTGCTCAGCCTCACAAAAAAGGATGACGAAATAAAAAAGATTCTTGCTCAAGCAGTGCACACTGCAAACAACAGTTATTGATTGAGTCCCTGTGTCTCAGCTACACCTTTCCCTCTTTTCCATACTGGGATGGTCTCTAGTCTGTTTTCTTAAACAAGTACCAAACAGACTTTTTAAGTATTTCCAGATTTTTTTTTCCCACAGGAGGGATTTTTTTTCACAGGAGGAATCACGGTATGTCAGTAGATTCAGCATTTCCCCTAAACTACTGACTACAGCACACAGCACATTCAAAAACCAACCCCAGTCATCAGTTTTCCGGTGTTAAAACAGGACAAGTTGCAGGAGCACAGGTTCAGCCCTCAGACACCGTGTCTGCCCTTTTGTTCTCGCAGTCCTGAGCATGGTGCTGATAAGGTAAAGATTTACCTGCAGAGCTGGCTGGCTGGGCTGTGAGCACAGAGGTGACAGCAGGTGTCCCCAACACGGAGATGGGACAGCACAGCTATATGCTGTTGTGTTTTCAGAATAAAACTCCAGCCTGCATCTAATACGCTACACCAACAAATGCAGTTCCAGTGTATGCCTTCAAAATGATGCTATAGGAAAGCCATTTTAAAATTCTGTGATTGCTCAAGTTCAGCTAGTAGCTCCAATGGGAGCAGAATCCAGGCTCTGATTTGTTTTGGATATACATTAAAGAATTAAGCTAATAATTGACCTACCATATAATCTGAACCTATGCACCTCATCTCAGCCTCGACTGATTTGAGCCCAAAAAAGCAACAAAATTCAGAAAGAAAAGCTTAATCCTCTGTTCCACATTCTTAATTTTATCCACATTCAGAAACATCAGTATTACTGTTATTAAAGATACTGGGAGTTTTGAGTATGGGCCAAATCCTTTCCTGATTAAAATCAGCAGAAATTTTGCTGGAGTAATCAAAAAAGAATCAAGCTGTATCTTTACTGTGGCATCATGAAAAGCTCTGTGAAACTCAGGATTCTGTGCAGACTAAATCGGAACTGCACCTGTCAAATTCTAGAGTCAAGAATGTATTCACATGCCTTAAAAATCAGTTTATGTCAATGACTATTTGCTAAACTCAGTGAAAAAGCTGATCTAGAGGCATCAGAGGAGCTTGTAACTCCCCAACCCCTCAGAGTCCCACAGCTGTGCTGTTATAGCAGGGCAGAAGTGAGGTGGTGGAGAAGCATCCTTTCTCCCTCAAATCCTTTTCCTGTCTGCAACTTCCTAAGAGATGGCAACCCATGTTCCTGGGAGTTGTATGCCTGGCAACTAGCTGCCTGCAACTCTTCTCCAAAGGAGCAGTCTCTTTTAAATTTTTTTTTTCCAGAATACCTGATCCAAACAGTGAGAAAATATTCATATTCTACGGCAGAGCTAAATCTATTCCTGCAGCAGAATCAGTCTCCCACCGATGAGAATTTTAAACATAAATGCAATTTTGCCCTGGGCTGTACTTTCGGTATATTTTGGCAGGGGACACGCAAAACATCATTTACTCTCTAAACGACGTTTCCTTTCTGCCTTCTAACAATCCCCACAGCCTTTCGGGCAGTGACATGACGAGAACCGCAGTTCCTAGGGAGAACAGGCCGGGGAGGTGGGGGAGGGACAGTGGTGGACACCTGGAAGCTTTGTTACCCCATTCTTAGAACACGACGCTGTTCCAGAGTGGAAAATCCCCGCGGGGACAGCAAGCGGATGCTCACCTGCCCGTGCAGCCGCCCCGCCTCGTCCATGCACAGGTACCGGGAGCTCTGCACGCCCTTGATGGCCACGGTGCGCACGGCCACGGCCCGGATCTCCAGCAGACCTGCGGGCAGACAGAGAGCGGGGACAACAGTGTCACCCCCGCGGCCCCGGCCCTGTCTCCATCCCCATCCCCATCCCCGCCGCCGCCACTCACTCTGCGGGCTCTGGCTGCCGGCCGCGTCCACCCGGCCGTCGGCGCCGATACGCAGGAAGCAGCTGAAGAGCCCGTGCTTGCTGGCGGTGTAGAGGTGCCGCAGCCGGATGGGCTCTCCCCAGCCGTAGTTGAGGTGCGGGCCGGCGTCGGGCAGCGGCAGCGGCAGCGCGGAGGCGGCGGCGGCCGCCAGAGCGAGCAGCGCCAGCGCGGCGGGGCGCAGCCCCATCCCGGCGCGGCGCCTCGGGGCTGTAGCGCGGCCGCAGCCGCCCCCCGGCCTTTTATAGCTCGCCGTTATCAGCTCCATCGATCCGGCCGCATCCGATACGGAGCCCATTTCATAGCCGGATCGGTCACTCCCCCCGAAAATATTAAGCGGGTGACACCCTAAAGTCGCTTCCTCCGCATCTGCATCTCCGAGCTCTCTGCTCCTGCGAGGCTCCGGCCGCGCTCCCGGGGCACTGCACGTCCCTCAGCCCCGATGTGCTGCCGGGACGGGGACCGGGGGTGGGCGTGTGTGTACCCAGCCCACCCAGTGGCAGGAGGCTGCCCCGCTCCCCGCCGCGGCTCAGCCCCTGCCTTCGGCCTTGCCCGTCCTGTATTTCATTTCCTTTTTCAGAACTCAAAAGAGTTGCTGCCTAAACCTGAGCTCGCCTCTTCGACAGGGGCCGAACGCTGGAGGAGCGCTCCCGGTTCAGGATGCACACGGCGCTGGTACAGCCCGGCCCGGCCCTGCAGAGCCCGGTCCGGCCAGGTACCGGCGGCTCTGGGTGTCCCGGCGCGGCTCCCGGCGCGGCTCCCAGCTGGATCCCCGCCTGGCCATGCCCGGCCGTGTCACTAGATGGAGCCTGGCCCCTGGGATGCGGCTGCCTCGCCTCGGGGGAGCCACTCTGGGGGCGCTCTCCAGCTCCTGTTTGTCCTCACTTCTTACAAAGAGACTTGGGCGGGGGGGAATCCTGGGTGAAGTAAAACTGCATCGCCCGATTTAAGCTTCAAACAGAAATTTTCTTCTGCTCTGCGCATGGGTTTTTTTCCACGTGGGCTCCTCCCAGGGAGCTCGCTCAGCGAGTGCCTCTGGAAAGAAGAAGACATACAAATTTGGGGGTTTTCCACCATATTTGTATCTCAGACATATTTAAAGGGATTGCTGCCGACTCTTCTGTTGTACATCCAAAGTGATCATTGAAGGAATTTTCTCAGATTCCCAAAAAGAAAACTGGTAATTTCATAAAGAAATTTCACCTCCCTTCCCCCCCACAGGACATTAAATGACAATTCAACAAGACATAACCCCACCCCCCGACCATTTTCTCTGAAGCACCAAGCTTCGGTCAGCTTCCACATACTGGTTTTATATTTTGCTTGTTCGCTTTCATCCTTTTGTCCCTGCACATGCATCTCCGTCCTGCAAACACTCCCACAAAAAACTTATCTTCAGAAGCAATCTTAGCTCAGTGAAGATGAGCATGTAGACAAACGACACAAAAATACAGAGGCTTGTAGGATGAAATCTTGCACTTATTTTCATGTGCAACTTCAGGTGTATTTAACTGGAGTTAATGACATCGGTCAGTCCACGTTCGGATGATCAGGGTCTCCCATAACAAACTCACTGGGAGCAAGGGATTGAATCTCATCAATCACTTCAAAAGCAGCTACTGCTTTTGATTAGTTTTGGGCATTTTTTGGTGATCAGCTTGAAACACCCAGAAAAGACCCTAGTTTTTCCCTGCATGATTGCTGAATAATTAATAAGTATTAAAACTACTTTTCATTCAGGTGTCTCCTGCTGCAACCCCCAAATCATGCGTGGGCTTTCCTACCAATTCTGGCCTTCCTTACATCACGGAAGTTCACAGTATTATAAGCCCAGTAAATAATACTAAGGCATGCAAGTCCCTAATTCTTTTTTTCCTCTGCAATGTTATTACATGGCTGCTACAAAGGCAGTTCCTGCCCTGCAACCCTGGGCCCCACAGCAGTTGTGCATGTAACTCATCCTGGCATTCTTCAAGGTACTGAGCACCCACCACACACGCAGAGGTTATAGTCTGAAATTAATCTGAAGGGCTTCTTTAGCTCAATTTTTCTGTGCATCTCAGTGAATAGAAGCTGTTTTATGACCACTGCTTCTGCTATACTCTAGTGGGAATAATAATAATAATAATAATAATTGCGAGTATTTTCTTCATCAAGAAGTTCAGGCTTCTTTCAAGCAGTAAGGAATTGATGCTTGGAACTTGTTCATTCATCTCTGTGAGGATCAAAAATTGAGGCAGAAAGGACAAATCGCTTGCACTAAATGATATTTCAAATCAATGAAAAAGCTGGCTGTAAAGGAGAATTTCCCAACAATTGATGGAGAACCTCTAAAAATTATTTTCATTGCGGCTGTTGCTGATGTTGCGTGGGCTGAAGTTAAAGGGTTTGTGTCTAATCAAATTAAAACAAAAATGCACTTAACAGTTAAGCACTTAACTAATTTTTTGGAATGGCCTCTCTTGTTATGGGAAGGTTCCAACCTAAATGATTTGTCCAAGTTCCCCAGTAGTCCCTGACAGAGGTAAGTGTCTGCAAACACTTAACTAGACTGAATGGTGCCAATCCTATCACAGCTGCTGAAGAGATATGGGTTGAATATACCCTGGAAGTGCTCATTTCTTCTTGCCTCGGTAAAGAAAAAAAAAAAAAAAAAGCCTAGATGATTTACTCAGATTCAGGTAACTTATTTTTAGCTAGAAACTAAAGATAACTTATTTTTAGCTAGAGATAAATGAGCTAGTAAATGAGCACTGAATTCAAAATACAAGAGTTGCGACACATTATTTTAATTTCAGTTCCTGTCTGTGTCACTGAACTTTATCATTTATTGGCATGTTTTATCAAAGTTCAATAGAAAGACACATGCCTTTGCATGTTCCTACAAATGCATTTGCAGGAAAAAAGATATGTTTGCAGAACAAATGTATTGTAGGGTAAATCCCACTTTCACTTCCAATGCTGGACCTGCTTCCTGCAACAAGGAAACCTGGGAGTGTCAGATCTTCTGCTTTTATGAGGATGGGAAAAACACCCGAAAACCCAGGAGGAAAGTCTTATAGAACAAAACGACCTCCTAATCACACAGTACACAATTGCAAAAGCATTTTCACCTGTTGTAATGGATCATTTATTTCCACTGCACTTTTCAATGTCCCAGTGCAATTTCTGCAGAAGGAGAAGTCCAGATTTCGGCAATAATGAAGTTGAAGTGAATGTGTTTTGGAAGAATCAAATTAGCTATAATTAAAAGTCAAATATTCAGAGATCCTGGAACACACCAAAGAGATAACAGAGGGCTTGTACCGTATTGGATTACGACATCATTGAAACCAACTGAAAAGAAACTAAGGAATATGGCCACAAAAAATGCTGAGGAAATAGGGCAAGAAGCCACCCATGAGTCAAAGTTGGTCATGGCAGGCTACCTTGTGGTGGAAATCAAAGGAAGAATTATACAGGTGAGTCACTCAAGGCTGAGTGAGACTCAAAATGTGATAAACTGGAGGTGTTTAGGATGAAGAGACATTTTCTCAATTATGGAATATCTTTGGAATATCATGGTGAAAGCTTTGGTTTTACGAGTCACTGCAGGAAGAGGGAAATACCACAGAAACACTGAAGACTTTCTGCTTCCTTTGGGCTGTCTTTGGGACCTCCTGCAGATTTTGGAGTTGGGATTACACTAGTGTGATCTAATATTACTTTTGTGAAGAGCTCTGTCAGTCTTCCCCCCTTTTCTCTGAAGTCAGAGGTGGGAGAATTACAGAGGCTGCAAGTACTGTGAGGGCAGTAAGGCAGGCAGGGCTGGAGATGTCAGTGCTAATGCCGCCGGTTTCTGGTTTCTGCCGTGGTTCCTGCCAGTCATCCCAGAAGTGACAGAGAAAAGAAAATTATTTTACCCATGGCAGAGAGCCAGCAGAGCAGTCCAGCCTTTTCTCTTACTTCAGGAGAATGAGGGAAGGCAGAAGTGAAGACACAGGACACTGTGATACGCAGTTACTCGAGCACGAGCTTGTTCTATAAAGAGCCTTATCAGCACAGCACAAGTTAAAAAACCTGCCTAAGAAGGAGAGGTTACTCCACCATATGTCAGGGACCGCTCTGCTTCCCAGCTGCTTCTGCAATCCAAGAGGCATGGAGGTGACAATATTTCTCCCCGGGCTGTGAATGAGTGCGGAATTGAGATTCCACAGCTCCCGCTGTGCGCACCCACTGACAGGATGTCATAGGATGGGACGAGCACTCACTGAGTCTCTTCCCTGATACCACAGTCCTCAGTGAATTTGTAGGATTCAAGTGCATCACAGACTTATAGATTTTCCAAATGATCCACTTCCAGAGGTGTTCTGCTTCTAAAACTGCTCTGCTGAGGAAGGTCAACACACTGGGGAGATTGTTGCTACTGTAACTGGCATGTGTTGTTGCTGGTTCTTTCCAAGGAGCACAGCCAGACAACCAATTTCAAATATCTCTCACCATTCTGTTATCTAATGCTTCCTCAGCTATTGCTATCAGTCAATGCATTCCAGAGAGCAATACTGAGCCTGGAATCGACTTGGAGCTTGCACAGTCAAATGATATCTTCTGGTTAGGTCTGCTCTAAAGCTCACAAAATTCCCTTCAAATAGCCTAAATGCTTTTTTTTTTTTTCATCACTGCAAGCCATTATTTCATGTTTCAGAGGTATTTCATCCACCCCATCTTTTCTGTGTGCTATGAAGTCCTTCATAATTCTGCTATAGAAGAAACCTTACTGATTTTATGGGATCATATTTGGTACTGTACTTCTCCAGCACTAAACCAACAAAAGCTGTGTTTTTCTTACATTTTTTTCTTATGTTTTGAGCAGATCTTTGTCCTGCAACAGAAATGAATAATTGCAATCTTTGCCAACAAATTATATTTTGATTTCCAGCTTGACCTAGGGAGTAATGCCCCTTGACTTTGTTTATGCAATCTGTTTGTGGAACCATAAGGGAAGCTTTCCTAGAAGAGGGTGACTCGAGATCATCAGCTTCTCAGTCAAATGTGGTATCCTTGGAGCATTTACCTGTATTCCTTTCCTGACTGTGACTAAATAGTGCTGTCTTTATGACAAGTTCCAGCTTCACTGGAAATATTTTTCATTTAATAGACAGAGAACAGTAGAAGAAAATATACCAGAAATGCTTCAAATTTACAAGAGTGCATACTTGGACCTGTGGTCCTGTACAAATACATCTGGACAGAATTAATCAGGTGGTCTTATTCAGCCTGCTATAAATCACCCCTGAGGAGCATAGTAGGAAGCCAGGA